AAAATCAACTTCACATCATCCTAGGCAGCCTGCTAACTCTGCTGTGAGTCAAGGGGTTGGACTAGAAGACGTGCAGAGTTGCCATCCAGCCCCAACTTCTCTATGATTGACAGTTTTATGTACCTGTACATTGGAACTGAGATCAGCTCAGCCATACTGACATCATTTCATGAGTTCACCAACTTCGGTTCCTGACTTTCTGCACGCCTCAGTCTCTCTCAAAACTGAGAATTTACCTTCAGCTTGCTTTAAGAACAATACATGGTGTTGGTCTCAGTTCTTATTTAGTCAGAGAAGGAAGAGGTTTGTAGAAGCTCAGGCAGATCTATTTTAAACTTTCAGATTATACTGCAAACTGGTTTCATCTGTGGGTGGATGAAGTTAAGAGCAATAATTATAAACTAGCTACCAAGAAGGCTGGAAGTAGAACTCCAGACTCTCAGTGTATTTTTTGTTGGAGAGCTACCAGGCTCCCTTCCAGAATATGAGTGTTAAATAACAGCACTCCAGCAAACACACCAAGTATTTATACTTGATCAGGTGCTAATACAGGCCTCGGGGTTCACCAGTGTCGTAGCTTGGAAGCAGATGAGCAAAGGGTCACATGCAAGCAATAGCTTTCCATTAGTAACCAGAAGTTTGCAGTAGGAGTTTTAATATCCATCTCCACGAATTAGCAAGTTTGAGCTATGCATTCACATCAGCTCTGCTTGATATACTACCTGTGAAAGAGCCTTAAAGCTCACTTCAGCTGTCTAGGATTAACAGAGCCAAATACAAAGCACACACACCTTTCAAAGAAGAAAATCTTAACAGGTTATAGGCAGCTGGCAACACGTACAGTATCAGGTAGTCAAAGATGTCTCAAAGAGGACAAAGGGAGTCTGAGCCCTAGGGCAGGTGGGATATGAAAGCTTTTGGAGTGACAGGCAAGAAACCAGTACTGGGAGTCAGGACCCTATCAGACAGCTGCCAGTCTCAAGGCAGACCAACATCAAAAACAGCCAACATCACCCTATTAAGGAAGGTACTCACTCTCACAACACAAGTCTAGAGGGACTACAGGGACCAGAAGTAGAGGACAGTGGGAGTAAGCCATAGAGAACACTTTATCTCTAATTCTGCAGAGCCTGGCACTTTCAACACTTAGCAGCATGTAATTAAATCTGCACAGCCTCAATGGGGCTGCATCCTGAGTCTTATCTATCATAATTCTACAATCATTTGGGCATAATCGCACAGCAGAATTCTCACCTCTGCTCCAAAGCCAGTAATAATATCTTTTCTCCTTAGTGTCAAAGTATCTGCCCTAGTGAACAAAGCAGATTCACTATTGAAAGTGACAAACTAGTGAACTGGAGTCTAGCAGTCACATGTAAGCAGAACTTCCTTTTTTTTAAAAAAAAGAAAAGGAAAAAAGGAGAGAAACCAGAGACACTTCCCCATTTGTCTTACCTTCCTCTGCAGAGGATCTGCTCTGAAAAGCAGATCTCAAACTAGTTTGCATGCCTTCCAAAAGCTCTGCAAGACAGCAAGAATTCAGTTTTACAGCTAACTCTGCAATGGACTTTGCCATGCATCCTGAGGGAGTTTCCTCCTGCATGCTGCCATCTCACCTGATGTCAAAAACAAACAAAAAAAAGGGGTTGAGGGTTACTGCTTAGGTTCAGCTTTAGCTGTCTCCTTATTTGGAGGCTAGAAAGGGAAAAGGGAGAATAAGCTCAAAAAAGCTGATGGTGGTCAGGTATCAGGACAAACAATGTTTCAGGCAATTAGACTTGAAAGGAACAAAAAGACCTTTATAGAAAGATCTAGCCAATACAGAAATGCTTCAGAAGACAAGAATCTACAACTCGAGTGTTTCGCATTTGCTGCAGAACCACTGTGAAAGCCAAGTACTTAGGCAGAAATGTCCATTTCATCTGAGAGTTTAGATGCTGCTCAGAAGTTGAGGTTTCCTGGCTCCTAAAACAGCTCTCCCCTACAAGTCAGAATGAAGATGCTATTTCATTCAATGAAAGCTCTGCAGCCCTCTTCATAAGATGCAGAAAACTGGAGACTAGTCTACTTAGAGGGCCTCAGAACCAGGCAAGCCACAAAAAACAACACAAAGGGTTCTCCTTCCCTTTCCTGTGATCTATTCCCATGTTTGAATCAAAAACCATCAGGAGACATAGAGGCAGTATTGCTGTCCTCCAGGTTCCTCTGACTCAGGATAAAGTAGTGCTTTTATTCAGCGGCTCCAAAAAAGCAAGGAAAGCATGCTTTAAGGAATGCAAAGCAGTGATGGCACTTCATGCTGCACATCTGTGGCACTGCTTTACGGGCAGACAGCTCCCCTTACTTTGGCACTTTCTCCCCTCAGAGGACTTCAGTCTTCAGTACTTTTATCTTGCAGTAGTGTTTAGGAACTATTTGCTCCCAGCAGGTCAGAAGAACCCATAAAAAAGCAAGTTACTCGGTTGGTGGTGATGTCTCAGCCATTGCCACCATCCTTCTGCCAGAGGGATGTCCTAGTACAGGCCTGGTTAGGGACAGTAGTCCTTACAGAAGCTTTCTGACTCAGAGACACTTTGAAGCTGGAGACTTCGACCCGCACTGCTGTTACAGTGCCAATCTCCACCAGACTCTCCAGAAAGGCCCTTGGAAAGGCCAAGAGAGCAGACAAGCACAGCTCCTGTTCAAGAACCAATAAAGAACAGCTGCAGAGCTTTAAGCCTGAGTCAGACTTGAATACTGACCCCCTCTGCTTCCCAACTATTGGAGCTATCCACACATTGTTAGTTGATTAGCAAGCCCAGGCTTTCAAGAGATTAATGACCCACCACCAGAGATTAAGACCAAGAGGCACACTAACCACCTAAAAGGTGGTTTTACCTGCTTACCTCCACTTACCACACTCACTCCCTGGACTACTCAATACACAGTGCAAGTAGTTCAAGTTTACTACTGCTCTGAAGTTAGGAACATCTGTTTGTTTGCTGAAGTTTTTCCTGAGGTGGGAGAGAAGTTAACTCAATTTTTTTTCTTGCCTGTGTATCAGGTATTAAGGAGAAGAAGAGGCATCCCTCACACTGTGAGGCTGTCAGAAAGACCAGACCTTTGGCTTTTTCTGCCAATTCAGCTAGAAGGAGAAAAAAAAAAGAACGCTGCTCTTCCTACTGGAAATCCTTTTATTCTGCAAGGCTCATTATCCTAGTGCCATTTCCAGGTCAACCACAGAACTGCTCTTCTGTCTAAAAATCACCTACCCCAGCCCTTTTTTGTTTCCCCTCTTTAGAGTACTTCTGTGCCGCCAAATGCATACTAGGTTGGGATAGTACTACACAGAGGTACTAGAAGATGGACTTCACCTGTGTTGCTGGTGGAAAAAATGGGCAAGAACCTTCCTACTGAGCACTGAGAAGTTAGCTGACCAGCACCTGAGGCTAGAGAGGTATTTCTGCTCCTAGGTTATCAGGCATGCTGACACACTTCTCAGACACCTCAAAGCAGTAAAGACGAAACCCTTGTTTGAGCTCCAAAAACAAAAAAAGCTCTTTAATACAGCTGAGGAAAGAAGTTACAGGGCATGAGCTGCTCCTCAGAACAGAGCTTCTCAGCAGCTATACAACAGCGTGGAGAGCAGTTGTGCTAGGAGGGTACAGTACCACTGCTCTGCTCACAAGCGGCGAGAAGACCCATGAAGGCAGCCACCTGTTCCTACAGGTCGGTCACACAGCAACATAGTTACATGAGTAAATCAAATCCATCATAGACAAAAAAAAAAAATAATCCACAATTCCTACTCACACACCCACTTCTCTCAGAGGGCCATCAATTCCTTGACAAGTTTCTTAGATGAAGACAAGTCTTCTTGGACGAAGCAAAGCCTAGCTTCTCATTTGAACAACAGCGGGCAAACATTTAAGGAGAGGGCTCCTTACATGGGCAGGAACAAGTGCTGAATCTCTACAGCACACTTACAGGGCTGCAGAAGGTGACAAATGGAAGAGACCAGACGACCCCTTTGACTCACTCCCCTAGAGCACAGGAGTGTATTGGACCAGATACTGCTGGCAGCCCCAAGGCTATAGGAGGTTAGCAGATCCACCCTGCCCAGAAACTGCTCCACACTCCCCAGGACAACAGCCATAGGAAGCATCTCTTGCCACCAGCATCTCTTGTAACACCTTGTACACACACCAACCAGCCCAGAACTGCTTATTATAACAAGTCTTGAACCAGTCTGACCCCTTGCAACCCTTGCTCCCAGAAAATCCTACCTTAACACATTTCAGGAAGTCTGCCCACAAAGATACTAAGTCCTTGCAAGAGTAGTTAATGTATCAGCAGCGCTGTGCTGCCGCTACAGCTTTCACATTCAGGAATTATCACATCTAAGGCCCACACACAGGCAAGGCACTTCCCAAAGCCTGCTAGCATCCTGCAGACAGATGCCAGAGCCAGGGAAGGGAAAGCAGGCACAGGTACTCCTGCAAGAGCATCCTTTCCACATTACACTGCTGTGATGAAGTGAGAAGGAGCTGAGCTCTGGAGAGGACAAGCTGATGACAAGCTTCGGGGGTAAGTAAGCAACAGCAGCTCCCAACCTTCCCCCTGAGGGCTCCAGGAAGGAGACAGCGAGGGAGCTGCAGCAACTCCTGAAGCATTGGGACCCATCTGTAGGAGGGTATGAGCCACAGGAAGACACGATCGGTAAAATCTTGCTTTTTGCACGGACTCCGATGGGAGCAGCAGCACTGGTGTCCCAGCTGGTCCCTCACAGAGAGGGACATGACACCTGCAGCCCCCACACCCGGTTCCTTCACCCCCTCCCGGGCAGCCCGGGGCTCCTGCCATGGGTGTCAGCATCGCCCAGGGCTTCCTTTCCCCGCGGGGAACCAGGGATGCAGCCGGGGAAAGGCACACACAGCCTTCCTCCCCTTCCAAAGGGGGAGACACCCCCTTAAAACGCCGCACCTCGCCCCCCCCCTCCCCGCCCCTTGCCCGGGCCGTACCTTGTCGGCGATGCTGCGGGGCAGCAGCAGGTCGGGGCTGGGGGTGAGCGCCGGCCCCATCTCCTCGCTGCTGGACGTGGCCAAGGGATGCGGCATCTCCCGCAACGACTTGGGCCCGGAGGACGGGAGAGGTTTAGGGGCGCCGGCCGCGCCGCCCGACATCGCGCCGGGGCCTGGGGTGGGGGGGGGCCCGCTGCGCCGCCCAGGCGGAGGAGCTGCGGGGGCCGCGGCAGGAGCCTGCCCGCCGCCGCCGCGCTACGGGGAGGAGGAGGAGGAGGAGGAGAAAGAGGAGGAGAAGAAGAAGGAGAAGGAGGAGGAGCGAGAGCAGCGCCTGCCCGCGCCTCCGCCGCCCGCCCCCTCACCAAGCACCATCGGCCCCACCTGCTGCCGGCGGAAGGCGCGGGGCCGCCTCAGCGCGGCGGGAGGAGGGGGGCGGGGCCAGCGCAGGCCACGCCCCATCCCACTGGGGAGGGGGCGTGGTCGTGGCGGGGAGGGGCGTGGCCAGGGGGAGTGGCGGGAGCGGGGCCCGGTGGCCAAAAGCGAGCGAACGGCACAAAAAGGTGAGAGTTTATCAGCTAAAACCGAGGGCGTACGCCCACCGGGGGCACCGACACGGGGACACAAGGGTCTTCTTCCACGCTGCCCAGTAACCACTTCCCGCCGAAGTTGGAATTCATCACAAGGGAGTTCTTCCTGGGCTCGAAGGAACGAGCTTTGAAAAGGACACGCTGAAAAGTTTTGCCACAACCCCTGCGAGGAAAGAATTTTGGTAATTTTTTTTCAGGAAGCCTTAAATTCAGGCTCTCTTATCCGCTAAAAATGAGCGGAAAGATTGCATCAAGTCCTGTAGAAATGATCCGTGCAAATTTGTCTGACAGCACGTGTCAATTAGAAAAATTCATTGATTTGTCCACAGTTAACAATGTGAAAAAAAAAGTATTGGTGACTGCTGAATAATTAATAAATAGGAGAAAAGTCATGGTCTGGTTTAAGATATTCCCTGAACAGATAAAGCATCTACATTTGCCTGATAAATTATTCTTTGCGAATAATTTGCTCAGCACTGATTAGACGCAATGGAGTAACATACTGCTGCTGAGGGATGAGATGGGTCACTGTGAGACTGTCACAATCCCTCCTGGCTATATATATATATCTATATAATCGTACAAAGAACGATTGAGGGAGCTGGGACTGTTTAGTTTGAGGAAGAGGAGGCTGAGGGGAGACCTCATCACTCTCTACAACTACTTAAAAGGACATTGTAGAGACGTTGGTGCTGGTCTCTTCTCATAAGCAGTTAGTGATAGAACAAGAGGGGATGGATACAAGCAGCAACAGGGTAGGTTTAGACTGGACATTAGGAAGAAATTCTTCACAGAAAGAGTGGTGGAGCACTGGAATAGGCTGCCCAGGGAGGTGGTGAGGCACCATCCCTTGATGAGTTTAAGAGTCGTTTAGATGCGGTGTTGGGGGATATGGTGTAGGGGAGAACTTTGTAGAGTAGGGTAGATGGTTGGACTCAATGATCACCAACCTAGATGATTCTATTATATAGATGTATAAAGAGATACATACAGGTATGTGGCCAAAGAGGACTCAGGTGCTGTAAAAGGGGTTTTTTGCTGCTGTTTTCCCAGGGGGGCACAGCCCATTGAAATCAGAAGGGCAGCACCATTACCTAAAGCTCAGCCAGTTTTACAGTTATCGATGCCAGGTCACGGGAGGCAACTCTGTGGAGACCTGCATCACAAATAGAAACGCTGTTTATCACAGGGAAGAACTATGAAAAAAAAATCAATCCTTACTATAAATAACTATTTAATATTATGTAATGGTTGAACTCTGGGTGATAATCAAAAGCCCCAACTGAGTCCCAGGCCCCAGTGAAGAAGAGGCTGTGAAGCATGCCTTGTTTATTAGACTTAAGAAACAACCACCTATTTATCTATCAGGAAAATGAAACAACACAAATTAGTGAGCCTACATTCATCCATCACAGCTTTCTTCTAGACTACTCAAATCTTGAGGGGAAACTATTGTGATAAAGCAGCAGGCAGGTTCATATACCTGCTGCGCTGCTCAGGAACCAGTTCCCTTCAGTTTTGCAAAAGCCTGTATCTCAAAGGCTTAGCAAGAGCTCTTCCTCTCTTCTCCCTTAAGCATCATCACCCAGCTGTGTTTCCAACTCAAACCCTTCTCCTGTCAGGAATTAATCACATTACAGGTGTTACACCAACACCATCAAAACTTGGAATCGTGGGCACGTTCTAGCTCTGTGCAGGCACAAATGACCTTCTACTCATTAAACCTCTTGGCTCTGTTGGCAAGGAGCTGAGGACAGACCTGCTGCACCCTTGAAGACCAACAGTATCCAGGCTGCCCAAACAGCAAGCAGCACTGACAGCAGATTGAGGGCAGGGTTTATCGTTCTCTACTTGGCACTCATCAGACTTTACCATAAATACTGTCTCTGATTGTGGGCCCCTAACACAAGAAAGACACTGACACACTGGAGAATGTTCAGAGGAGGGTACTGAGATGGAGCACTTGCCCTGTGAGCAGAAGCTTGGAGCAGAGATGGCTTCATGGGCATTTAATTGCAGCCCCCAGTGCCCCATGGGGAGGGGGTGGAAGATATGGAGTTGGGCTCTTCACAGCAGCATGTAGCAGGAGGACAAAAGAAAAAGGACATAAACTGAAACAGGAAAATCCTGATGGATGTTTGGAAGAGCTTTCTCCACCTGAGGACAGCAGCATCAGAGCAGGTTCCAGAGGGAGGTTGTGCAGTCTCCACCCCTGGAGATTTTCGAGACCTGACTGGGCAATGCCCTGAGCAATCCAGACCAATCTCATGTCTGACCCTCCTCTAAGCAGGAGACTGGACCAGAGACCTCCCTCGGTCCCTTCCAGCCTGAATGATTCAGTGATTCAGATAATGTTTGTTGCTATGGAAGTTGTATGTCTAGTTTCTGAAGCGATGTGAGATGACCTCGCAATTTTCCTGTACACAAGGATGAAGTTTCAAGCTCCAGTGAGTCACTTACCGCTCCCTGCGATTACTGTATGTACAGGCAATATATGCCTCTTTGTTTACTGATTACATTTATCTGTGTTACCTAGATGGCCTTTGCTTGGAGCTGAAACATGTCATCCTTAGTCTTTTCATCTGGCACAAACTACTTAGAAACATTTTCAAATAGCTAACTAGATCAGGATATGCAAAGTACAGGAATATTTATGCACCTGTGAATACAAGCAAGCCGACATCTGGTTGGAGAAAGTTCAGAAGACATTAGTAGAAGGACTTTTACCCAGGAAAATAGACACACCTGGTGATTATTACAGTGATTCTCCTAAATTCTGACTATGATAGTTATGTTTAAATTTCAGAATTCCAAGCATGCTATGAAGTCAAGAGGGTTAAATGTTGAGCAGGTCTCCTGACCTCAATCCGTAGGTCACTTCATTATAAATGTTCACTACAGCTCATTTCTGATAATAGTATGCATTTTGTGAAACCAAACAGACGGATTAGGGCACTCTCTTAAGAGTAAGTCTCTTAAGGACTAAAGGCAGATGTCTGTCTCCCTCTAATTTAAGTCTGTAAATACCTGTAGAGCCAGCAATATAGGTTTAACAATGATACATACCTTCAGAAGCAGATTCAAACTATTAAACTGAGAAAGATAAGAGTTTAAAAATCGTAAATTGTATCTCAAAATATATGAAACACTTTAAATTTGTAATCTGAAAAATCTGTACAACTGGGATCCTTTCTTTGCTGTCTTCTCTGAAAGTTCCTGTCACAGACTGAGGCGAGTTTTTAGCTTCCTCTTCAGCCACAAGAGAACCCCATTTTTATTTTTTTTCCTAGCATGGAAGATGACAATTTTATGTACTTGGCTTTAAGATCTGGAGCTTCAAAAACACAGACAATAAGGCATTTTAGGACTTGCATTTGAAAAATTAGAGTTAGGATCAAATTCTAGGACCTTGATTAAAACTAGTCACTCATTATCCACAGAGGCCATGAAAAACTCCAAATCTTTTGTACATGGAACAAAACAGAAAAAAAGTATACGATGCAGCTGACTTCTTGTAGGAAATTTTTTCCACACACAAATAGAAAACCTGTAAATGCTTCAGCATGTGGGTCATCTGGCTCCAGCAGCAGGCACAAGAATGTGCAGCCAAAAACTGAGAAGGAAAATGTCTATTTTTCTAATGGTAGTGGCAGTGAAATAAATAAAGGTTTTAATTCTACTAAGAAATTATGAGTGATTAAAAACATGGTACTGTTCCATTCCCCAGTTCCTGCTCCATACCACCAACTGTGGTGATACAATTTTATGACTGTAATATTTTCCTTGACATTTTTATTGATTGTTTTCTTTTTGTTAAACATTGACCAAGCTAAAAACAATCAACACATGAAATATGCAACCAGCAGAATAAAATACACAATGAGAATCAGAGTCACTGACTGGCTGACGAGAAACTGCAATTCAATGGCCACCTCTTAACCCAAGTTAACCTGAAACACTGGCACACTCTTCTAGCAAAATCCTAACTGTTTATTGTGTTTACATCATTTCAGCTGGTAAATGAGATAAAACAGAACAGGTATGCGCATACTACTAACTGGGCAAGAAGACAAATGGCAAATTTGGGGATCAAGAATCTCACCAATTCAAGCCAAAGGACACTAGCTTCAGGTGGTTTTTTTTCCTGAATAAAATAGTTCTGCCTCTGTATCAGTGAAAGTTCTATAGGGTGCTTCTTTGGATTGCTACAAGGATAAACAGAGAGAGGAAGGATCTACAGGTTCTCTTCTCATCCTGCCTTTTCAGTGATACTCTTGCACCTCCATTAAGGCAGTGTTAGTTCAGGAACTTCTCCAATTACTTCTGCTCTTTAGCTGTACCTCCTCAACCAGGGCTCATCTATATCACAATTTAGCACTTCTGGCACCAACTGAAGATCATCCTGTGTATGTTACAACCTCTGTCATTTTTACTAAGGGTAGGACATAGGCCAGCATAAGCAAGAACAGGAATTTTGAAGAGATTCTATGCAGTGCTATTGAGTTGCATTATCATAACATGCCCACAGCTGTTGGTATAGAAGCAGTTTAGTGGTGGGTTCAGCCTCTGAAAAAAAGATCATTTTC